GGAAGAGAACGTCAGGCGGCTCCTGCCCCAGCCCGGGGGTCCCTGCCCCGCACCACCGCCCAGCCCAGCCCAGCCCAGCCCCCGCACCCACCCGGCCGACTTGATCTGGCTCCAGAAGCCGTCAGTCTTGTAGACGTAGAGAGCGCAGCGCCCGGCTAGCGCGGTGAAAACATCCTGCTCCAGCCGGATCATCTCGGCGCGCTGATACCCATTGGACGTCTCCTCGCTGCGGGGACACGGGCGGTGAGGGCCGGTGCCTGCTAGCGCCTGGGGAGGGGGTGCCCGCAGCTGAGCCTCCCCAGACCGGCTGCAAGGTCCAGGAGCGGCTGGGCAAAAACCATGCCCCAGGCAGCAGGGGAAAGGGGCAGGCAGCAGCGCTAGGGGAAGGGGCTGAGCCTCCAGCTGTGGGTCCCCAGGGCCCGGCTGGCTGCACAGGGCGGGGGAGAGATGAGCGAAGCCCCAAACAGCCCTGACGAGGACAGGATCCCACACCCCAGCCCTGCAGGACTCAAAACAGTGAGTCCGGCGGACCTGTTGCACCACTGCTCCAAGGCACCCCTGCTAGTCTGGGATCTGGTCTGGTGCAGTGCCCGTCCTGTGACCCCCACCAGCACTGCACAGCCCCTAGCCAGGCCCGAGTCGCAGAGGAAGCAGCGCCCAGAAGGGACATGTTTCTCCTCAGCTCGTCTCCACGCCCACCGCACTGCAGCCCAGACCCGGCTGTGGCCAGGTCTTGGCCGGAAAGGCGCCAGAGCTGCCCGAGGCTCACGCTGAGCGTACGCGTGGGCCCTGGAGACAGTAGACGTGGCACTCCCGGCTGCGAAGCCAGCTCGCCCAGCCCCAGCTGCTCTGAGGAGGCCAGGCTCACCCTGGATCCAGCCACGGAGCTCGTCTCTACGGTGCTGGGATGGGACCGGCACAGCTAAGCCGAGCGCGACTCAGAGGCAAAGCAGAGCTCCCGGCAGCGGGGACAGGGCGCTATGCACCGACCCCAGCGCCAGCGTCGGGGGAGACAGACAGACTTACCCGACGCAAGAATAGTTGGTGCAGGAGCCAGGACGCGAGCGAGTGATGGCAGAAGAGGAGAGGAGAAGGGGGAGAAAGAGAAAGAGAGAGAGATCATGGCGGATGAGCGTGGGGCTGCGGCCCGGGCGCGGGGGGGGCACTCACAGCAGCAGCTCCTGCTGGTTCCTCTGGAAGACCTCTCCAATGTGCTGGAAGATGGCAGGCGTGAACAGGTAGATGCCGCAGTTAATGACCTCGCTAACAAACGTGCTGGGCTTCTCCACGTAGTGCAGGACCTGGGGGTGGGACCCCGTGAGCACCACGCCTGGGCTACGCCCCTGGGGGGGGCCTGCCCTGGGCAGGACAAGACCGCAGGCCAAGGTGCACCCGGTACCTCGTGCGTGTCGGCGTTGGCCACGATGCAGCCGTAGTTCAGGGACTGCTTCCTGTTGGCCTGCGGAGAGGGGACGTATCAGCACGGGGGCCGCGGGGCTGGGGCCCCGGGACGCCCAGGCCCTGGCTCACCGTGGTGCCGAGGATGACGAAGGCGGGCGCGCCGCCGCGCTGCTGCTGGAAGGCGAGCATCTCGGGCAGCGGGAACTCGGAGCACACGTCCGCATTGAGCACGAAGAAAGCCTCGGGGCCGCCCGACAGGATCTGGTCGCGGAAGTGATAGAGGCCCCCGCCCGTGCCCAGCGCCGCGTACTCCTGGAGGTACCTGCAAGGCGGGCACGGGCGCCGCGCCCCAGTGAGCTGCCCCCGGCCCCTGGCCCAGACCCACATGGGGGTGGGGGGCACGGGACGCAGGGAGCATGCACGGCTCTGCCGGGGGGGCGGGCTGAGGCGCCCCTGGCGCGCGCGGGGACGGGACCGGGGGCTGCACCCACCTGATGGGGATCTTGAACTCCTGCTGGGCTGACACCAGGAAGCGGCTGAGCGCCTCGTTGGGCTGGTAGAAGCCCACCAGCAGGATCTCCTTCATGTTGGGCACCTGGGCAGAGCGGGGCCGGGCGCGCTCAGCACACGGCGCCCGCGCCC